ATTTTCAGCATCATTAGTCTTCAGTGTCACATGATCCTTCAGAAATCATTCTAAGTACTAATCCCATTTTTTTGACATATTTCAATGTAAAATGAATTTTATGTTTGCAGGGATTTCTCTTGGTCACCTGGTGATAATATCATTGCATTCTGGGTTCCTGAGGATAAGGACATCCCAGCAAGAGTAACACTCATGCAGCTTCCATCCAGGAACGAGATCAGAGTCCGCAACCTGTTTAATGTTGTGGACTGCAAACTTCACTGGCAGAAAAACGGAGACTATCTCTGTGTGAAGGTGGACAGGACACCCAAAGGAACACAGGTATGAGAGTTGCTTTGAAACTGTGCTTTGACACTAAACTCAAATGTTTCCTTTTCACGGATTTGCTCAATTTCTTTTCTACCTTAGGGCGTTGTCACCAACTTTGAGATCTTCAGAATGAGAGAGAAGCAGGTACCTGTGGATGTGGTGGAGATGAAAGGTAAAGTAAGAAGGATCTTGAGACATTATGTTGCCATTTCTTGTTTCTTACTGTCTTTAATACCTTCTCTTGGTTCTGATTTCTCTGCCTATCTTATAGAGAGCATCATTGCCTTTGCTTGGGAACCAAATGGCAGCAAATTTGCTGTGCTACATGGTGAATCTCCCAGAATCAATGTATCATTCTACCATGTGAAGAACAATGGCAAAATTGACTTAATAAGTAAGTGTTCCCATTGTGAATGCATTACTCTTTACAAATATTTTTTATACATGTATGTGATCTAAAAGGTTACCAAAAAATTTATTGTTCCAGAAATGTTTGACAAGCAACAGGCAAATAGCATCTTCTGGAGTCCACAGGGGCAGTTTTTGGTGTTGGCTGGGTTGAGGAGGTCTGTACTCATTAAATGTGCTGTGATTGTTTGTACTTTCTTTTAGAGTGGTTCATTTGTATGATTTTCTGTGTTTCATCCTATAGCATGAATGGAGCTCTTGCTTTTGTGGACACGTCAGACTGCACCATGATGAACATCGCAGAGCATTACATGGCCTCGGACGTAGAATGGGACCCCACTGGACGATATGTTGTGACGTCTGTCTCCTGGTGGAGCCACAAGGTGATTTATCTGATTCTATTGGAAATATTATATATTAGTGTTGACAAAAGTACCCACATCAGTACCAGTCGGTACTGAATTTTTAAAAATGTGACAATACCAGCATTTCCCGCTAGCATTTTGAGCGGATTCTTAAACACCTCTGATTGGCCATTGTGTTCACACGCTTAACAGATATATCTGTGATTGGCTGCAATGATCAATACCAATATAATTATTGGAATTAGAAGTATTGGATTTTCATTCAGAAAATATGATGCAGGGAAGTGTTTATTATTCTTTTATGTTGACTGAAAATGCGTATCATGCCTTTGTATAAATTGATTTTATTTAATTTTTTAAAATTTAGGTGGACAATGCCTTTTGGCTGTGGACATTCCAGGGCCGTCTGCTGCAGAAGACCAACAAAGAGCGTTTCTGCCAGCTGCTGTGGAGGCCCCGTCCACCCTCTCTACTGACTCAAGAGCAAATAAAGGTGAGAAGGGGTCAGATGCAGGGTCTCTCTCATTACTCTGTCAAGCAGAGTGAACTCTAATCCCACTATCCTTTTTGAAACCCACAGCTCATTAAGAAGGACTTGAAGAAATACTCCAAGATCTTTGAGCAGAAAGATCGTCTCAGTCAGTCCAAGGCATCAAAGGTATGAAATTGATGTGTTGTTGTTTTTTTCCTAGGATGCACACAGTATTTATATGTGGATCAAAGGTCAGTGCTAAAATTTAAATGAGTGCTTTGTGCTTCGCAGGAACTGGTGGACAAGAGACGTTCCATGATGGAGGACTATCGCAAATACCGTGAGAGAACCATTGACATGTATAACGAGCAGAAACCTCTCCGCCTTGAACTCAGAGGAGGTAACTAATGCAGAGAGCAGCTCTGTTCAACAATGAGTTTTATTGACCATCAGTGACATCTCTTAGGCTGCTTTGCAAAGCACAGTTTCAATGCCTTTTTCTAGAATAGACCTGTTGCATTAATTATGTGTTATCAGTTTGCAATGAATTGATCCAACCACGATTTTTTGACATAATTGCAATGTTTAATCTTTAAGGTATGTAATCACTTTGCCGGTCAAATGAAGAACTTTTATGCTCCAAATACTATAAATCAACCGGAGGGCCTTAATAAAACTTCTAAGGGGGCCTCGAGATGATTTCTAGATTTGTAAATTAATAGTCTTATATCACAATGGGCATTTTTATACATTATATGAAAATACATTTTTATAGTTATGCCAAGGTTTAAAATATTGTATCAGGTAGAAATTGTGAAGAAAAATAATGGTAAAAGTCATTATCCTTAATCATTCACATATTGTTGTGGATAATGGGTTGAGGAACACTGCTATAAATTCATATAAATTTAGCATTTATACCAGTTAGATGTCTCTCTCTAGTGCAGCGGTGTGTTTTTAGCCAGTCATTGCTAAATGCTAACTGCTGCACCATTGGACCTAATTATCTGTCATATGTAGGGCCTTTCTCAGTAGGTTTAAAATGGTATATTTGAAAATTCTTGGTTCTGCAGAAAAAAGGTAATCAACGTTTGCGTGAAATTCAGTTGCAGCAGTTACAAAATTGACAGACAAGGATTTAACTTTTTGAAATGTTTCACTTATGGCAACATTTTAATTTTAAACTAAATAAAAATGGAAATGGAACAGCCAGCATTATATGTAAGTAACTTTTTGACATGGTAAATTCAGATCTGAAAAAGAGAAATGGCAGTGAAATGTACTAATTTCACAAAGGTGAAAAAAAGGATCCGTCGCCTCATCAAAAATGAGACGACCACAACTGCACATTCCCATCAGCAGTGTCTAAATATAAATGTGGCCGTACCAAATGGGACATGGTAACAGACAGTGTAACAGTTTGTAACCAAAGATATGCAGCCATTCAGTCTGGTTGACAAATATTTCGGGCTGTTTTGTCGTGTTTTATCATGCCTCTTGTTTTAGTATAAATTTTTATACTTTATTCATGGCATTCCCTATGTGTTAATTGGTTTATAAAGTCTAATAGGAAATTGTGCATTTTGTTTAATTGCTCAAAGTGAATTTGAAAGTGCATTTAGCTTGCAGTATAATAATAATAATACAAAATTAGCACAATTGACATAATAACAGTGATTACTTTTTTGCCAACAAAAATGTAATGATTGTGACAGCCCAACTCTAGAGATTGAGTATGGGACTATTTTAGTAATCACTGTATTTTCTGATCTCTTCTAGGAGTGGACACTGATGAGCTGGACAGCAATGTCGATGACTGGGAGGAAGAGACCATTGAGTTTTTCATCAATGAAGAAATTATTCCCATTGGAGATCTGTAATTCCAACAGCAGGTACTGTGTGTGCAGCAATATGACTCTGATAGGCTATTTGAAATACCTTGGTACAGCCATAATTATTTTCTTTTCTTATTTTCAGTATCCGTTTTTAGTGGAGGAGTGTGGACTATCATTGGAGAAAAAATTGAAGGATCCCCTATAAGAGTTTTCCTTGTTATCATCAGTCAAGTGCCTCTTAATACTGGTCACTGCGGAAGGAGAATTTTGTGCCACTGTTGACTGCTGCTTTTTAACAAAATCATCCAGCTCTGGGAGAATCCGCCCGGCCAACATCATTCAGGCCTGCTCTTGGTGGATCTGATCGTAACGCGTTCCTGTTCTTGCCTTTGGTTGATCTACCTCATCATAAGGGTGTTACCATGGCACAATATGCCAAAAACTGTTTTTACATCATCTCACAGAAGGAAAACATTTTGTTTCCTAAGATTTTCCAAAAGGCGAACTTGTACTCTAGTGTGCGAAAATGGCACTACAGTGGTCTGTATCCTCCTCCATTCAGATTACCTGATATTAAATGCACAACAAGGGAATAAAGTTTAACTGAAATTCAAGCGTTTGTTGTTTTTCTCTCTCAAGGCAAAAGAACATGATGCATATGATTTTGTGATGCGTCATATCCTCGCGCTGTCTAGTGCTAACTTTGGCTGATGAAGATGTGTATGGTCTAGTGTATTTTGGACAGGAATAATATAAAGTTTTTGTATTGTAAAAATCAGGGATTTTGGGAAATTCCAATGTAAATATAGATGGATGTTAAATATTTAGTATTATGCGACATTCAGATTGTGCTTGACATTTTTAATGGATTCCTTATTGATCACTAACATTTATTGTCAGTTACATTTACATATATTTAGCATTTTATTCTCTTGAGCAAGTTGTTTCATTCATTCATTTATAATCTGAATACGTAATTTAAATCCCTGATTAATTGAAGATCATAATAGATGATTTTTGAGTTAAGAAATTATGCAACATCTGATTGCAATGTTTTCATTTATTTCATATTTTTGTTTAAAGATACATGTCTACACTTTTTATTATATAAAAAGCATAAACTTTTTCATTATATATATAAAAAAATATCTAAAGAATAATGTCACCTTACATCTTGATTTTTAACACAGCTTATTTTTTTCCTTGTTTGATCCCCCCTGGAAGATTTATGAGCCCCAATAGTGTGTCCTGGTCCCATATTTTAGAACCACTGGTCTATCGGCTAATAGAGAATTAAATTCCTTCACTTTTTAATTTAAATGGTTCCATGAGCTCTATTTGATGTTATAATTAACATATTGTTGCGTATGTTAATAACAGAACATGTCATCTGAATTGTGATAAAGCGGTTCCAAACTTGCATTTTGGCATAAAACTATTATGGCATTTTTCTAAGTGATACTCGTTATTTTTTCAGCGTGTGGTCTATAAAATGTACGTTTTAGAAAGGTTATTATGGACGTCTGCTAGAGAATGTACTCTATACTCTGACAAAACCCATCACTACGGTTCAGCAGCAGATCCTTGCGTGCACTTGGAAATCTCGCGACATCTGCGCGGAGCACTAAAGCGCTGCTGTGTCAACACCCCCGAGCGCACATCCCTCCTCAGCTGAGCTGACGCCGTCTGCCTGCCGAGAAATCCAGACTCCTGCGATGATGAGGTGAGACTATGATCGTTACAGCCGTGTTTAGACACGCTACAGTGTCATTTCGATCATATACTAAACACAGCAGTCTTTTAACTCCGTGTACTCGAATCACAGACGAGCATTGAAATCACAGGCACGAGTAGCTTCATGACTTCCCGTGGAACAAAAAGTGGTTAGGCGCGTCTTTGCACTTGCTCTAGATTTGACTTAATATCTTAATTTTGTCAATGAAAACCAATCGACACACGATCACCCGGTTTAACCGAAATCAGCAGCATAGTAGAAAGTATGCATAGATGAATGGTTTAGGAGGAGTTTTCGCGGATAAGCTCGAATGTTTGCAGCTTCCTCCCACAGTCAGAGATGGTGTCAAAGAGCTGCATTGTGTCCAGCTGAATGTGACGGGTCGCTTTTGCCTTTGAAATGAGCGTGGCAAATGTGTAGCTGCTCAGTGTATTTTGAGTTTTCGGAATAATAATTGATATATAAATAACCATAAATCGAAAAACCCAGCTTGTAAACGTTCATGTCAGTTTTTGAGTAATTATTACGCCACGCTACTACGCACGCATATTTTGTTTGTAGCCAACATCACTGTGTTGTGCTGTGACGTTATAATTCAGTCACGAAACGAGCCAATAGCTGTGCGTTATCAGCCGTTTGGTTTGTAACACACCAAATGTTCCAAGCGAATGTAACGTTTCTGTTTCAACAATACGGTAATAAAAGGTGGTAAATTACTGCGTTTCTTGTGTAGCGGTGTTTACATTCTGTCTCTGCGCTTTCTACAAGTATAATAATAAGAATAATAATCATATCTATTTCATATTTGGTAAGCAGCCTGTAAACTCCTTCAGGGTGATATGAGACCCCAAAATAACCCTTGTCAGGGGTTGCATTGCATTACTTACTAAATAAATCAGTTTGAACTAAAACACCTGGTAACACACTATATTAACTTCCATTAATAAATAATTTATAAACATTACATAATGATTAACTGATCATTAGTTAATATATATTCACAAAGCTAGAAATATGAGATAATGTGCTTGTTAATGTTAGCTAATTAATTTATTAAACATTACATAATGATTAACAGATCATTATTTAATGTAAACTGAAATGCTTACAAATGTCATTCAACTTTCAATTCATATGATCATACAATTTAAAAAAAATCTACAAATGATTTTGACAGATGGTTTACAATGATTAAAATCTTCATTAATAAATCATTAACAAGTATAAAACATATAATGCTTAATAGATCATTAGTTAATATGTTAATGTTAATGATTAAACTTACATTTACATAATGATTAGCAGATTATTTGATGTAAATAAAATCCCAGCAAATCTCGTTAAACTATATATATTACAAATAATTAATTAATTAATTGTTCATGTTTTTGCAGTACCCAATCTAAAGTTGAAACTATTCATTATTTGTAGATGTTTCTAAATGTTTACTAATCATTTAGTACATATTAAGACACTTTTTTCCCCAGTCATCTCAATTGCAAAAAGTGTCCCAAATGACCTGAATTCACACTAATTACACATCTTTACTAATCATTTATTAATTATTTGTTCATGTTTTTACAGTACCCAAGCTAAAGTTGAAACTATTCATCAATTTTAAATGTTTATAAACGTTTACTATTAATCATTTAGTACTTTTATGGACATTGGAGTTTTAGCTAGTGTAATAACGTCTGTGTAAAGGGTAGTTAGTTCAGTTTGTTAAGACATAACAACAACAAGTACTTGTAATTTGGATGCAAAACATGTTTTTAATTGCCTCAACACTCAGTTTACTATATTTTTAAATAGAAGATATTCCTTGAATCATACATCAACAGGAGAGAACAAATACATTTTTAAGAAAATACTTATTCATTTATCAACTCAATGTAATATAAACAGTTTGAACCATGTCCCCTTATAGTAATTAAATTGACTCCTGTACATCGTTGACCACTTAACCAACCCTTAAACCTACCGATACCACCAAACCTGTATCTAACCTTACCCTTTTCACACCTCAGTAGCAGCAAAAGTGTTTTGGAGTAGAACATGAACACAATAAGTACATTGTACCTAACAATCATTATTATTTGTACATGATAGAAAAAGTCTTAGATCTTTGAGTTCAGCTCATGAAAAATGGGGGCAAAAACAAAAGTGTTGCGTTTATAATTTTGTTCAGTGTAGTAGTTAAAGACACCTAATATAAAGTGGGATCAGTCTTATATTGTTCAATGTTCTGTTGAACACCCAGATCGCTCAATGATACCAAACACCTTTTTGCATTTGTACTTTTGCAAATCTAAAAAAGTGCATTAGGTAATATGTGAACTGAAGTTAATTTGTAAGCATTTTAATTTACATTACATCTTGATTGATTAACAGATCATTATTTAATGTTTATTTAATTCATTAGTAAATATTAACAAGCACATTCTCGTATTTCTGTGAATATATATTAACTAATGATCTGTTAAGCATTATGTAATGTTTATTAATGATTTATTAATGAAAGTTATTATAAAGTGTTACCAAACCCCCTCTGCGTTATGTAAGGGATAATGTACAGTCAGCTGGTTATTATGGTCAAACAAACCCTAGAGGGATTTATTTTGTGATAATAGCCAGCTGACGGATATATTTGCCAAAAAATGGACATGAAATAAAGCTTTAAGCTTCCATGAAGAAAAGATCTGACATGTGAAGTAAACACTGCATATTACACTGCAGTGCAATGTTAATTATATTATTTATCGGTAAATGTTACTTTTATGTTCAAGGCTGAAATACAGTACACATTTTTAAAAATTTGAACAGATTGTAAAACACTTGATATCATACACTCATAAACTAAACAACTGAGGATCACACACTACCAGACTTTCAAGTTGTTATGAACACAACAGACTCACGCAGAAACATGCTCCTCATTGCTAGAAGATGCACAACAAATGAAAACGATATGTGTTCTAAAATCAGCTCAAAAATATCAGACAAATTAGATCTCCAACGACTGGACAGAATCATAGCTTGAAACTAACAAATTTGAGTGCTCATCATACACTAAGCAGTTTTCTGTGAAGCCTGTCAACTCCCGACTGCCCAAAATCTGCTGCTTGACTGACTTTAAGCAACTAGCATTGACTTAAGACTGTAAATTGGGGCAAAAGTCGTGTAGTGTATTCCAGCCGTTAACTAACACGTGTATCATGACATTAAAATAGCACTGTTGTCATGGTGAGCAGTGAAATATTTAGTTTTGCTGTCATTATACAAAAATATTTGACCTCTCAATCACGATTAACCAATAACAAAGAAATGTAAATGCTGTGTCATATAAAGAGAATATGAAATGTTACTTTTTATCGCATAAAGAGAACCACAATATTGCAAAACATTGAAACAAACAGGTTTGACACACTCTTGACTTCCCTATTCTGATTTGTTTTTCTCTACTTCAGACTATGATGAATGCAGTCTGGGCTGTCGATTGTGTAATGGAGTTGAGGTGAGAATGGCACTTTCTCAGTCAAAATCAACCAAAATGGGAAAGTCCAGACTGTTCCGCATTTTTATAATTGTGGGTGCCGTCTTCATGATTCTTCTTATAATCATATACTGGGATGATGTGGGGGCCTCTAATTTTTACCTGCACACAACCATCTCCGGGCCCCATCCGTCCCGCCTCTCTCCGCAGAGCCGTCGTGACCCTGAAAAGAAAGTAGAGGAAGACAAAGAGAGCTCGTTTTTGACGGACATAGATGCTTTTGTCAACCAGTTTTTAGAAGGAACCGCAGACCCCACGGAACAGGTGAGAGGAGAACCACCCCCTGGAGACGCCCACAATCAGTCCTCTGAGAAATCAGAGGAGAAATTTGTCCCGAGAAGAGAGTGGAAGATCCATCTGATGCCAATTGACCCTGAGAAAAAACAAAGGCAGGACAGTAGAAAGCAGCTGATCCAAGATGTGTGCGGTAACAAAAGTTATTTTGACTTCCCCGGAAAGAACAGGACTTTTGATGACATACCCAATAAAGAATTGGATCACCTCATCGTGGACGACAGGCATGGGATTATTTACTGTTACGTTCCCAAGGTGGCCTGCACAAACTGGAAGCGCATCATGATCGTGCTGAGCGAGAGCCTGTTATTGGACGGCGTGCCCTACCAAGACCCTCTAGATGTTCCTCAGGAGCTCATCCATAACAGTAGCCTGCACTTCACCTTCAACAAGTTCTGGAAGCGCTATGGAAAGTTCTCACGGCACCTCATGAAAATCAAGCTTAAGAAATACACCAAGTTTTTGTTCGTCAGGGATCCTTTCGTACGACTGATCTCTGCCTATCGCAACAAATTCGAACAAGAGAACGAGGACTTCTACAAAAGATTTGCGCTTGTCATGCTGAGAAAATTCAGCAATTACTCTGATCCACCGGCATCAGTCGTGGACGCTTTTGCCGCTGGGATTCGACCGTCTTTCTCGAATTTCGTTCAGTATTTATTGGATCCTAACACTGAGAAAGAGATGCCTTTCAACGAGCACTGGAGACAAATCTACCGTCTGTGCCATCCCTGCCAGATAAATTATGATTTCGTGGGGAAGCTGGAGACCTTGGATGAGGACGCTGAGCATTTGTTGCGGATTCTCCGCGTAGACAATGTTGTGGAGTTCCCACAAAGTCATCGCAATCGAACGGTCACCAGTTGGGAGCAGGACTGGTTTGCCAACATACCATTGGAGTCCAGAAAAGAGCTGTACAGGCTCTATGAGGCCGACTTTAAACTGTTTGGATATTCTAAACCAGAGAAGCTGTTACATGAGTGATACGCTGATTGTCAACTTTACTGAGGTGCTGACAAGATTTTCACAGCACAAGAAACAGGGCAATAGGAGTTCCTGCTGCTTGGTTCTTAATGTGCGGCTCTTTCACATGATGCTGTTTATAAAGGCCCTTTCGCATGACTCGCGTCCTGAGGATCAATGTTTGGCTAGTTAGCATGGTCCAGTTAAGTCCTGTAGGTAGATACAGTGATTGCACCATCTGCTTCCAAAAAGCATCTTTCTCCATTGGCAGCTATTCAAAAGTACAGCGTCCCACACATGACATCAATAGAAATAAAAATGAAGAATTTGTATTCACAACTTGATTTGCTCCCTCATTTTAGTTAAATTGTTGCCACGTTGTACTAAGTTGTTCCCTTGTTAAATTGTGGCCACGATTTAACTAAATTAAAATGAGGGAACAAGTTAGTACAATGTGTCCATGAATGAACTAAAACAAGTGAATTATTTAATACGTGGCCAGGATTTGACTAAATTAAAGTGAGCGAATAATTTAGTACAAAGTGTCCACAATTCAAAAATAAAATGAATTAGTACACCATGGCCATGATTTAAATAAAATGAGAGAACGAATGAGTACAACATGGCCACAAATTATGAAGTAGTTGAGGAAATATATATTTTTTTTACTTTGTGGCCATGATATCTATTTTTTTTCTTCCACATGTCACGTATTTGTGATTCGCAAATATTATAGTGGATGTTTTACCAGTGCCCGATTTTTATTTGTATTTTTTTCTGAATCTATATTTTGAGGACTCTTTAAAAGCGTTATAAGGACGTGGTTATTTGGATATTTTTTTCCTGGTCTGCTGCCTTTTACGTCACGTGATAGTCACTAGAGAAGGGTTTAATGCAGTCAGCCAGTGTCAGCGTTGCCATGATCTTACAGCTCAGGTAATTGTCTAAAAACATGCTGTAAGTGAAGATGGCCGATAAGAGAAAGCATGGCACACTCTCAGAAAAAAAGGTACAAAAGCTGTCACTGGGGTGGTACCTTTTCAAAAGGTACACTTTTGTACCTTTTAGGTACTAATATGTACACTTTAGTTACTAATATGTACCTTTTAAGGTACAAATATGGACTCTTTAGGTACAAAGGTGTGCCTTTTGAAAAGGTACCGCCCCAGTGACAACTTTTGTACCTTTTTTTTCTGAGAGTGCATGTATTGCTGACTGTGTCACTGGCTGCACTTTGAATAGATCAGTGATAAATGGTGCAACAAACTTGAAATGTTAGTGTTGTGTTAACGTTTACCCTGTGCTGAGGGTAATGCTATAGTTTCAGGCTTCACAAAAAGTGGTTCAGTGATTGGGGTAATGCTGATTTGAGTCATGTGAAAGAGCCTTTAGGTTTTTGTTTGGAGCTTGTGGGCATTGAAAGTAATTCTGTAGTGAATATACATTCCTTGCACACAGGTTACATTTGCTCAGTCCATTTCCCAGTATCCCACTAAATGTGTTACTGTTATTTGTATAGACCTCATGGACAATTTGAGAGACATTTTGATGGTTACCTACTCAAAGAAGCCTCCATAATTTTCTTTTTTTGATATGCTCAACAGTGTTTAAAAACAAACTCGTCACCTCATTAGTAGTATTCTCATAATGTGGATGGATGTGATAATCCCAGCAAGAGACTTTTGTCCCTCAGTTTCAAGTTGTATAGTTGTATGTTTTACTCCAAGAACCACCAAACTAAAATATCACAAGAAATTAAAAAAAAAAAGTATTGTACATTTAGCAAGTGCACATATTAGAGTATTTTACAATATTTTTGTAACCTTTTACAGTTAAATGTGAAAAGTGAAGGCACTTTTGTCCTTGGAAAAAAAGCTACATAGTATTTTGAAATGCAAGAAAAAGTTTTACAGTTTTTTTTTTTTCATCATAAAGGGATCACTGCCCAAGTTGGAGCATTTATGTGTCTGTTAATTTTTTCTTGTTCTTTTTTTAATACACAGAAACCTCAATGTCTCCATGGAAAGGTTTTTTTTTACACTTGGATTTTTTTCAACCTTTTAAAGTAGTTCATGGTCCTTTATTGCACAAAATTGCCAGTGTTCTGCAGTGAAGTGAGTAAATGGAGTAACTGTCATCAAAAGGATATTTCTTTGTAATAGAGGCTGGAGAATTCAGATTATGGCCTGCTCTTGTCGAGGAAATCTTGCCTTTCATCATTTTGATCCTTTTATTCTGTTAGTGTGTAGCAGGGACTGGATGAGCCCTCTGATCTGCAGCATGCAATAGATGTTAGCATGTGCCTTGCAGTCCTTCATAAATATGCATCACTCATGAATATTGTAGCAAACTAAATTTACCATTTAAAAAAAAAAAAATCTGTTAGATTTAGAGGGTAAAATAATGGCCTTGTTTGGATATTGTTAGGAATATAATTGCAGGCACAGGGTATTTCTTTCTTTCTTAGCAAGAGTTATTTGGTGTAATAGCTTTAGACCGTTAAAGCACAAACGTCAGTGTTGTTTATAGTTCCTCTAGTCGCAAGTTGAACGTGGGCATGTGCAAAAGAAATATTTAATTTAATGGTTTATTAGGGTTATTTTTATAGTATTTTCTTTACCAAGAAAGTGTTTCTTTTACTTTCCATCATGTTTTTGTGCCGCATTTTGCGCATTTGATCACATGTATAAAATTGATCTCGAAGGCAGTGAGAGATTAAAGGATGGTAGATGGTAGAAGTGGATTAGATTGTATATTGTAGTAGGGAATAATACTGTGGAGCAAAAGTGTAGCATGATTGTTGTGGAAGTGACGGGCCAGAGGGAACGGGACGTCCCATTTCAGAGGAAGCCACGATTCTGAATTACCGCACTGTTGGGCCCATTCGGTAGCAGTGCCTTTGAAGAAAAGTTTACACAAAAAAAAGTATTTTTGTAAGCAAGTCTCTTGACTTGCAGTTAAAACAATCAAAGCTCCTACTTAAAAAGAAAGTGTAGTAGTGCTTATGTGTTGCATCATGGAAAAGATCAGATTTGTAGCCACAATTCTGGCTGTGCTGTTGAGATTTGTCAGATCAGTTCCAACTTTTCTTATTTCATAAACCACAAGTTCTGTTACATGGGAAAAGTTTTAATACACATGTGTGCAGTTGCCTATACGGTAACACTTTATTTCGATAGTCCACTTTAGACATTCTATTAACAGTAAGTAACTTTGCAACTACATGTCAACTAGCAGTTAGTAGAGTATTAGTAGACTGTCTGCTTAATATCTTCTAACACTTTCTTTGTCAACATTCTACTAACTAAACCTACCCTAACAGTCTACTCTGAGAATTAGTTGACATGTAGTTACAAAGTTACTTATAGTTAGTAGAATGTTTAAAGTGGACTATTGAAATAAAGTGTAACCGCCTATACTGTTGATTTCTGTTTCAAACTTGTGTTTTGTATACATTTGGTGCCACGTTGTACAAAGAGGTGATATATTGTTTAGTGATTGTTTTGATGCCAATATTAAGAAAAAACGTTTTTTTTTAATTTTTTTATCCTGGTGTACTTTTCAGTCATATAGGAATTTCTTAGTTGCATGAAATATTTTCAGGAGATCATGCTGAGAACAAAAGGGAAATATTTGTTACACTAAATCAGGTCTTAGCCAATGTGTTCTAGACATTTGGTTTGGTTTGCTTTTTTCCCTTTAGGCTTTGAGCTCTTCTTTTATTTATTATGGTATTATTTAATGCTTCAATTTCAAAAGAAAAAAGTTAAATAAAGTTCAATGCATGATGCAAACACTGTAAAACTGTTCTTTGCCCTTTATTTGTTTTACAGTAATGTTATTCATTTCTAAAAGAACCGTGTTTATTCAGTAAAAGAGCTCTGCTGATGGTCATCCTGACTCTCTTTATATGTGTGTGTGTATATTTATGTCATTGTAAATTACAGATTAGGGATGCATGTTAAAATTCAATTCAGATCAGAATAAATAAATGAAAAAATGCTAGAAATTTGACTAGAGAACATTTTCAAGAAAATACTGAAATAGAAAATACTATTTCAGTTTTTCTGTCAAAATGTCACGTTTAATTAAATTTCAATTTCTAGCAATAAGATTACATTTTACTTTTATTTATGTATTTATTTTAAATATTAAGTCTTAGATTCTTGGATACAGAAATACGGGAAATAAGTGCAGTTAAATATCCAATATCAGCCCAATACAGATAAAAAAAAACAAAAAACATATGTAATGTAGGCTGATAGGTATTGTGCATCCCAAAGAAAAAATATAGAAAATATGTTCCTTCTACAGAATATTGGATTGTTGGCAGGTCTTAACCACTAGATGGCATAGAAGTACACAAGTCCATGTTGAGAACTTACATAGGCATTAAAAGTGTGGTCATGTGATCATGCAGTGTCTTACATTATCTTTATGAAACATTCCCCACTACCTTTGATAAACTGGCTATGCAGTGTATTCTTGTAGGCTATTAATATGGCTATTAAGAAAACAGGAGTGTTTAACAGTTGCTAGGAATCACTTACTGGTATTTTTTGTGTTCTGTGTACTGAAGCAGACAGGAAGCTTCTTCCTCTGACTGTAAGGAAAGATCAGTGTGTGGAACAGTGTGATCATGAGGACCACAGAGGGCAGCGGTCACAGGTGGCCTGAGCTCTTTCCTTTACATCACCCTCCATGGTTACATGTACCACTCAGACAAGACAGGTTTTTGTCTGTCTTGATTCCTACACAGATTTGTTCCATATTTATGCAAGTGCGCAAACACCGCAAAACTTAAAATGAAAATCGGAAGGGTTGTTATGATGGATATTGCTGATGTTAGTTGTTCTAGCTCTAGGCTCTTGGCAAAATGAGAAATTCTCACTCAGGATCATGAAGGGGTGTACGCACCATATTTGCTGTATTTTGCAATTGTACTGTAAGGACTTGCAGTAATAAGAATGACACAATGTTACTGTCAGCAATCAGAATTTCTAATCATAATCCGAGGTGTAATATAGATGATTTGTATGCAAAGCTGTATAGGTAATTTGCAATTCTATCTTAGGGTATAGACCCTAAAGATATTTGGAATAAAAGATAAATGCAATATGCAGCATGACTCATTTAATAGTTTTCATCCACAGGCTATACCAAAAAGATGAATTAAAAACGGCTGCTACCTGCTTAAAAAAAGCTGTATTTTATAGTCTAAAAATCAATATTTACCCTATTAATTAGGCCTCCAGAGCTGTTTCTGAATTTATGAATCAGCTTTGGTCTGTGGGAATCTGACTAATTATTCACTGCAGATGCTCAAAAGCACATTTGAATTAAATAGGAAATAATTAAATGATTTAGGATTTAGGATTAAAACGAGCAAAAATGTAAACGTACACCATGATCCTGAGACCAAAACCAGTTAGAGATGTTTCACTCCCACCAATATCAAATAGACCTCTCAGGTTAAATAGAAGATGAGATTCCCGACGAGGATTTTGCGAAATGATTGCCATTTTAATTTGTTAAACATCAAAATGATATGGCGGTATTTTGTGCTTTATTAATTGAATCAGATCTGTTAATTGATTTCCTGCCTCTCCCTTTTTTCTCTGAACTACAGGGACTTTTTTTTTTTTTTTTACTCTAATGAATGTAGACACACTCTTTTTCATCAATGTTTCAGTGGTGTCTGTGCATGTCACGGTGATCATTTTCAACAGAACTCTAATGAGAAATGCTAATGAAAATGGTCTGCCGACAGGTCGCTTGGACTGAGGGCATAAAGTCTGGTCAATCACGTTTTTTCACTTTACAATGAAATCAGTGGTGTCAACCGATGTACTCCCCTCTGATTGAATTAGATCAGCTGAAAAGGCCCAGCAAATGTATATAACTATATTCTCCCTTATACACTATATGGACAAAAGTATTGGGACACACCTCTTAATTATTGAATTCAGCTCTTTAAGTCATAATT